AATATACCATTAAATATCAACATTAATTTCTAAGTGCATCAAGGGTACCTCTTTAGTATTTGGGGCTTTTAATCAAGAATTGTTTTCAATTTACGTAATGAGATGTTTTCTATTGTGGGGCTGTGGAAAACAAAATTTTGGATGACCATGGATTAGGAATGTGAATTTTTCTCAATGTGACATATTTTAAATGATGAATAAACACGTAGCAAGTTTTTAAAAAATAAAATCATAAATCAACTTATAAAACATAGATAAAATTATATCAAGTTACTAGATTCTTTATCAAGGAATATTTTAATAAAAGGAATTTTATCTCTTTTATATTCATTCTGAGCAAAGTGTGTAGATTAATCAAAGTGAAATTACATTACACATAGTATTATTTTTTTTTTTTCTTTTTCAGTGAATAGTTGGGGAGGAGAGGTGGGCCTTGGAGCACAAAGATTCTGTACTTTGAAAAAAATTACCTAATAAGAAAGTTTAAGTCTGTAACAGTACCCTTCATGACCCATTTGCACTCTAGTAGCTGCTTCATCTGAAAAAAAGCAGACAGCTAGCTCTCTAATAAGACCGGTGTACAGCTTAAATGAGAATATAATTCAAGACCCTTAAAGTGTCTGGCCTAATAAACGTCAATTTCACTAAAGTAGTTCTTAGATAACCTAAAATAACCTGCGATGGTCATGATTATTATCTGAATAGCTCCTCTCTAAAATTTCTACTTGTTTCAAGGAGCTACAAAATCTAGCCAACGGAGTCGAAAAAAAATTCTACCCAAAGCCTTACTCTCAGCATCACCCTTCCTCTTTAAGGTGAGAGCAGGTAGTTCAAGTAAGTAGCTTCACTTATTGCCATGAACTCATGTCAACTATGGAGGTAATCTACACGTAAAAAAAACTTTAACTTTCAACTTACTAAACTGTTCAATTGGAATTAAAAATAGAGAGTAAAATAAAAAAAGAGAATATTCTCTAGGTAAGCCTCTAAAACAATATTATTTCAAAACAGTGCCTATTTGCCACAAAATTATCAATTCAGGAATATCTACAGTATTAAAATATTTTAACTATAATTCCTTTGTACAATTTCAAAAAAAATCTGACATTCAAAAATGGTTTATATGCACAGACTATTTTCCTGTAAAGGAAGGCATGCTCAAGGCAAATTATGTAGAAGTTATTAAGGGATTTACTCTTCCTAAGTCGCCAAAAGGATCATAATAATTTTTGATACCAATTAGCAATAATTTTATACCCCTCCCCAAAACATGCTAAAATAGAAATACCAATATTCACACTACAGAGCAAATGACCCCTAACTGAAAGGGTGGTGGATAAGTTATACAGTGGAATTCTGCTGACACTTAAGGCCCACTTTGGCAGCACATTAAACAATTTTCCTATACTCCCAGTCAAGACAGTTAAAAAGCCAGTCTAAAAGTTCAAAGATTCCTAAAAACCAGTAAGATTCTTTACGCTACAGATCTTTGTTCTTCCTGAAACTACTACTTTTTAATGTAAGTTTACTCGATAATTTCCAAAACAATAATTTTGGAGGAAAAAAACCCTAATAAGGTAGTACTCGATGGTTTAAACTATTGCTTCATACACTATTTTAATAGTAAAAAAAAAAAAAAGCAGTGGGGAGGGGGGAGAGTGTTTTGGCTCAACTAATAGCACTGTACGTCTTTTAAAAGGGAAATTGTGGGTCCAAAGTAACTGAACATTACATTTTTCTCGATTTTTGTTCCCAAGGCAATTCACATTAAACATCACGTTAGTAGGTCCTAACAGTTGCCTTCACATGCTATTAGTCTTCTGTATTTTCTCCTATTACACGCTTTCAGGGATAAGACTGGAGGGAGTCAGAATAGAGAGTAACACTGAAAACGTTCTAAAGACCTTAGGCTCAGCTCGCACGTGTTAAGTCACTTGCCTTGTTACGACACAGCGGGGCTGGAGACACTACATGTTCCTATTCCTTAACGCACTAGACCCAAATTTACAGGGGTCGAGGGGACAGAATAAAGACAGCTGTAACTTGAGTTTACAACGTAACAAAATACAGGAAGAGGCACGCTAGCCTGTTTAGCCACCTCAACATCTGGCACGCTGTTCGCGGGGGACAGCCTAACTCAGAAACGGCAGACGCTTCACAGAAAGCCGACCAGAGCGGCCCCTGGCCCCGGAGCGGAGACCAGCGGGCAGCAGGGGGCCTGCCCGCGCCTCCCTCGCCCCGGCCCGCCCCGCCGCAGGGTCCGTACTCGGACCACAGGCAGAGCGAGGAGGGAGGCGCCGGTCCGCCTCCTCGGCGGCCAGGGAGCGGAAGCTACCGCCTCGGGGTACCCGAGCGGCCGGAGGCGTCGGAAACTCGGCCCGCGGCCCGCCGCTCCGGCTCCGCCCCGAGCTCGCCCCCCCCTTTCGGTGCCCCTCTCCCTCCCCCTCGGAAGCGGGGCCTCCGCTGGGGCCAGGAGGTGACGGACGGCGGCCGGCCCTCCCCCGGCGAGGAGGCGAAGTGGGCCCGGATCCCAGCGGGCCGCGCCGGGCGTGCCCGGGGCTCGTCCGGGCCCAGCACCTGGCCGGGTGAGCGGCAGATCCGCCTCTTCTCGCTCCACCCCACTCCCGCCACCCCGGGGAGCTCAAAGAAAGGCCCAGAGCATCCCCCTCAGCCCGCGACGCTGGGGTTGTGTTCACCTCCGGCGGCTCCAGCTCGCTGCGGCTTCTCAGGCTTCTCCTCTCCCGCCTTCCCGTCCGCCATTTTCCCCGCCGCGGCCTCCCCTGCAGCCGCGCCAAGGACGTCACGGCCCCGCCCAGCAACCATTGAGTTCGGAGCCGGCCGGCGAGACTGCAGCCTAGAGCGGCCCTGGGGAGCGAACAGCTGCCCTTGCGGAAGCGGAAGTGGATGTGCTGTCGTCGACGAGCAGCTTCTAAAGAGCGGGCGGGGGAGTTAGTCTGTCTGTAGCGGGTTGGTTAGGAACCTCGCTAGCGGTCTCTTAGGTTTTCATGGTCCAGTGGCGGATCTAGAAAACTGAGGGGAGGTGGGAGCATCATCCGGAAAACGCAGGTGGAGTCTTGCACGGTTTCTGCAGACTGAAGTGTGGCAGGAGCCACCGGGCTCTTCGCTTCGGTCTTGCTGGATCGCGGCGGCCTTCTCGAATAAACAAGGGGCGCCGTGCTCTTTCCTCCCCCTCAAGGGGAAATTAACGTTTATCGAGCGCCCTCTTGTGTCAGACACGATCTCGTTTAATCCCCACAATCATCCAATGCAGAATTGCCCTCTTAGTTAGCGGTGAGTTGAGGCCAGAGTGATTTGTCCAAGGTCACGTCCCCAAGTGGTAAGACTACTTTGTCTACAGGCTGCAACTTCTGTGTCACGTTAAGAGAAGACTGAAGTAATTTCTGCCTTACTTAGAAGCCTTCAGTGCATCCCCAGGGTTTGCAGAGTGAAGGCCAAGCCTTATATTGGGTCTCAGCCTAACTTTTCAGCATTCTCTTCCCATTTTCTATTTGTACTGCCCTCTTGCCTCAATTCCTTGCTTAGGGAACTGGAGTTTCTGGGTTTGCTCTACGATATACAGTGAGTGTCACAAAAATTGGTCCTAAGGAGTCAGAATTTGGGTTCGAATCCCTATCCGCCCTTTATGGCTGAGTAAACCTTGAGGGTTTCTTAACAGAGGGCATAATTTATTGGTTAAAGACGATATTGGTTAGAGACGATACTTAAAGGCTGAATTATTTTGAGTAATTTTACTTATCTGTAAAAAAGGTGGTAATGATAGTTCCTCTAATTTTGTTTAAATAGTTCACGTAAACTGCATACTGTTGGCACAGAGTAGGTACTTCATAATATTTGGTAAAAGATTAGGTCCTGCTTTAAGAAATGTACTGGATAGCATATGTCATGCTAATTTCCAGTTCAGAAACAAGATAGAAATAGTTGGACATACATCTCTATTTCCCATATTTTCAAAAATTGTAATGGCACAGGCGGTCTACAGTGAATGTTTCCTGCAGTTCATTTCTTAGGAAAGCAGCACATATTTTCTCAAGTATGTTAGGACTCATGAGTTAGCAAGTGGCAGAAATCCAACTCAAACGGGCTTAGGCAAAAAGGGGAATTTATTAGAGGGAGACCAGGGTATCAAATGAGGTTTGACCAACCAATAAATGCTAAAAGCAAATCTATAGCTGGACCTCAGAGACAAGTAGGAGCAGGAATTTGAACAGCTCTAAAAATTGGTCTTATTTCCGTATATAAGCTTCACTCTCTCCTGCTATAGCCTGGCTTTCTTCAAGGAAAAGGATGTGGCCATGACAAATTCCAGTTTCCTGTCAAAGTCCACCACCAGAAAGGAAGTAACATAGGCCATCATGGTTCTCAAGTCCAAAAATCCTGGAAAAGGGTTCTGACTGGCCTATCTTGAAGTTGGATGCCCATCTCTAAGCTTGAGTGAGGTGTCTCCTTTGGGATAATCTGCTGTGGCCAGGGGAGCAAGGTGTGTAAAAATATGGCAGCTTCCATTCACATCACATGGCTAGAAAAGGAAAGTCATCTACCCTGCCATAGGGAAGTGCTGTATGGAATGCTCATCAAATAAACCTTTTCTTCTAAGAGGACAAGAAATGGGTTTTATCCCCCCAAACCCATTTTATTATATAGCCAAATCCCACAACGTACCAAAGGATGTCTTTTTGTGTAATCGAGATTCAGTTAAACAATTTACCTTAGTGCCTATGACATGCCCAGCATGGTACCAAATGTTACTTTAATAAGTGAACCACCATCTGAAGTTTAGAAATCTTTTCTGTATGTTTTTGATGAAAGGGTAGTTGTTGACATGACTAAAAGACCATTTAAGAGGGAAAATGGAGTCTGAAACTCAGAGTATTCATAAAAAAGCCACACCAATGGTACAGCTGCTTTACTGGACTCAAAAGCTTGGACAACTCTTTGTACTTTCTAAGATTATTAAGTTTCTTTTTACAGTAAACAAAATATATTTTCAAAGTTTTGCAGATATTTAATTAGTTGGGGAGAGAGACAATACTTCAATTAGTTTGGAAAGACAACATTTAAAAGAAAGAGCAAGTGAATTCCATTCAGGAAGAAATAGACTAAGAGAACTGTATTCTAATACATTTCCCTTTTAAGCCATCAAATATTCTTATTCAAGTCACCTTTTCTGTGTGCGTTTATTTAGCGAGCCTTTTGGAAATGAATTAAAAGTCTTTGACTTCTTTGATCTGCTGACAATCTCTTGAGAAGGCTGAGAAATCTCCAGATAACCAGTATGTTTTCTCCTGGGAACAAACTTTAGAGCTTCTTCCCAACTTCCAGTGTTTTTCAGACATAACAAAATACGCATCATTTGATCTAAGGTGAGATTTTTGGTACCAGTGTCCCACTGTAAATATTTATCTAACGGAAGGCATTCTGTTGCCAGCTTCAGCCGTTTTGCCTTGGCTAGGGATGTGCCTGACTGCATATTCTTATCAACAAAAGATCCCACTACATAAATTTTGTCATGCTTGAAAGTAGTCATAACATTGGGAGAATCTGCAGTTAAATATATAATACTGTCCTTTGGAAACAAATCTACATGAGACTTTTCTGTTGCTGTTAAAAGCAACTTGTTCCATTTTTCTCCATAACGTTTAACTAACTCTCTGTGATAAGCACCATCTAATTGAAGATTGCAGAAATAAATATGGAAAGGATCCACATTTCTTCTGTTCCATCCTTCACTTTCTAAAAGTTGGGAAACAGTATTCTGAAGTTCTTTTGGTTTCATATACTCAGCATAAGCCATGTCAAAAACCAAAGGTTGTCCAAACTGCATGGCCTGGGCACCCTTCCAGCCCATTGCAATTTCCATATTCCTGTCCCACAGTCGCAGAAATAGAAAGTTTTGCTGTTTGTCTTCCTTAGTGGTTTCTAGCAGCTGGTCTTTTGCTTCTTCCTTTGCTGCTGCTTTCATTTCCTTTTTTATTTGCTTAGCTTTTTTCATTTTTTCCTTAACATACAAGTATTTTAAATACTTCTTTTTGGATGATTTAGAAACACATTCCATAAGAGTTTTGAGCTCTTCTTCACTGATGTGTTCTGGTACTTCTCGGCCAAGCAATCTCCACATCTCAATTAACTCCCTGGTGGCAGTTAGAGGATCTTCATCCTTGCTACTTGCGACTGTTGAAGCATCTTCATCTTGCACACTAGATTTCATTGTAACTTTCCACCCATCCAATTCCAGCTGTTCAGGAGGTGATGTACTCTCCTTATTAGGATAGGACACAGCAGGTATTTTGGAAGACATGTATCTCTGCAGAATTGTTGAATATAAAACCCTTCTCTTCCTTTGAAGGGTAAATGGCACCAGACATCTGGCAAAAGGTCTTAAGAAGGTAATACTAACACTCATTTTGAGGAAAACGGGCATGTAAGAAAACCCCTATAAAAGAAGAAAAATGTAATGAAAAGTTAGATAAAGATTTTTAAAACCTCTCAACTAACTGTACAAGTATAAATTTGAGACATCAAAATGCAATTGATTTCTGAAACACAAAGTGGAATTTTAGTACAACTGTATTTCCTGCATCATTTTTTCCTAGATTCCTGTGGCCTAGAGCCTATGATCGTTCACTAGGCAAAAAGTTTAAAATTTATTTGGGTTCTTATTTTAGACATGAACTTCACTATTGCTTTAGGCAAAAAGATATCTTGAAGATCCTAATTTTTAGATTTGTATCTAGGGGACCAGAAGATCAATATTACTGGATAACACAGTTATCATGATGCTGTATTCTTCTCCATTCTATACTAAGCCCAGATAAAGACCCAAACAGAAGATCCTTAACACAAGCAACACATCAAGACGAAGGGCAGAAGAGTTACAGAAGATGGCAACTAATAAAAGGCACTTAGGAGCTGCTATACCAATGCCCTCACATGTTTTCAAAATAGAAATATAGAGAGATCTACTGATTTAAAAACACAACAAACCTTTCTCCAGTTCAGACTTTAATTTACAGCAAATAAGGTTAATGCCAAACAAAATGTCCAAAATTGGGGAAAATATACATAAGCTCCACAATTTTATCCTAAAGGTCTGGATGTCCACAAAACAATGAAGATGCTTAAAGACGTGAAACAAGTGCTGGATTTGAAGCAAAAAAAATGAATTCAATTTTTTACAAAATGCAACTAACATACTTGAAAAGAAAAATTCCTTCCTCCCTTTGCTTCATTTATTGACTCTGCATGCTTCTGGGTTTCCTGCCTCTCTGACCTGTGCACTGATGCTCAGATCTCCCCCACCCCTTAAAGGCGGATGTGCCTCTGAGTTCTATTCTTAGCCCTTTTTTCAATATAAACATTTTCCCTATGAGGTCTGGTCTACCTCTATAGCTTCAATCACCATGCATCAGAAGACACCTCAAATGCAACACACTGAAATCCTCTCTCTCCCTTCCCTTCCCAATCTGCTTCTCCTTCTGCGTTCTTCCAGGGAGGGCCACAGCTATTCATCCATTTGCTGAAGTGAGAAACTGGGAGTCATTTCATTACAGTCGGTTCTCACATCCACCATACCTAATCCATTTGAGTTATATTCACTTCACTTCCTAAATACTTTTTGAATCAATTGCTTTTCTTCAATCCCATTTTCTTAATTGCATCTCCTGGCCTCCAGATTTGCTCTTCCTCATGTCTAAGCCATTTGGAGCTAGTGCAAATCTGATCAATTCACTCATATCATCCCCAATGTGTATTTCTAAGCCCACTGCTGCCAGGTTAAAGTCCAAACTTATAAACATGGTTTATAAAGTTTTTCCCCAAATCACCCTTTGCTTACCTCTTCAGCTACATCTCTAGATATTCTTCACCTCAAACCTTGGATCAAGTATTCCTCCTACTATGGCACCTGTGACTCTCTAGCATAGTACTTGTAACACTGTATTGTAATTGCCTGGTTACTTATTTGCCCCACTAACGGTAAACTCCGTCAGGACAAGGCTGTGTTTATATTCACAGTGAACCCAGTGCTTGACAGTATATAGCTAACAGTAATCACTTAAGTATTTTTCGAACCAATACCCTGGGTCAGTGCTTCTCACAGTTAAAGCATATTCAGACACCTTTTAAAGAAAAAAGCAACTTACTTTAGGCTCCCCGAAATATTTAACCGGGAGTCCTTAGCTGCAATATGAAAAACGCTGCCTTCTGAAACAAGTCTTTTGAGTTATGTCTTTGTAACTGGTAAAGCTTTTTAGGATATCATAGAAATGAAAACCCAAGATTTAAATAAGCGAACAAGGATACCATTTGGGAAACACTGCTCCTGTTCCAGATATCGTACTACTTAGAGTCTATGAATCACCGGCCTCATCTGTGGGCCTTCTTGGCACACGTGCCCCACCAGGGGGACCTCAGGACATCTCCCGCGTCCTCCACCCTCAGCACACACACTGCAGACGACGAGGAACGCGTGCCTACCAGGACCCAGGAACAATGGCCCCGCCGCTGCAAACCGCAGGGACCCGGAGAGGCCGCAGGACTCCGCCGTGAATTGAGGCCTAAGGGTCCGCGCTGGCCAGACCCAGGGCTCCCCGGCAGCCCACACAGTATCCGACACCGACCGGGCACCCGCAGCCGGAAGCCCCGCCCTCTCCTCCCGGCGCTGCCATATGACGTCACGCTAATGGGGTCCGCCTTCCGGCCTGGAAAGCCGAGCTGTGGGTCTCTGGGTGTTTGCAGGGGACCCTCTTAACCGGCGTGGGGTTGTGGCTGGTTCTTCTCTGTTCCCGCGTTATTGAAACAAACTCCTTCTAATCCTCTTCGCTTAACCCACTCTCTGCTTAGTCCCGGAAGTTATAAGCATTTACTCACATAGTACTAAAATAAAATGTTTTCACAAGTCTCGCTCAGCTTTAAACTCCCCGATGCTAGGATTTTAACGTTAACCTTTTTGACCAGTTTAATACCATTACCTGGTACAATGCTTGGAACATGGTAGGCAACACTAAATATTGCTGGCTCCCCTTAGCTCATTTGGAAAATGTAATGTGAAAGTGAGATTAAGGCCCATGCTGCAAATTAGTGGCCTTTGGGCCAAAATCCTGTCTGCAGGTATTTGGTCTAGCCAGCACATTTTCAAGTGTTTTTTTTTTTACCAAGGAAGATTAGCCCTGAGCTAACATCTGCCAGTCCTCTTTTAGCTGAGGAAGACTGGCCCTGAGCTAACATCTGTGCCCATCTTCCTCTACTTTATACGTGGGACACCTACCACAGCATGGCTTGCCACGTCGTGCCATGTCGTGGTGCCATGTCCACACCTGGGATCCCAACTGGCGAACCCCAGACCGCCAAGCAGAAGGTGGTGCGCAATTAACTGCTTTGCCCCTGGGCCAGCCCCAATCAAGTGTTTTGGTGTGTTTGTCATTAGTAAAACACAAGGCACGTCATTCAGCAGTCTTTTCAACAAATGGTGCTGAACAAAGTTGAATCCTCATCTTAAAATCACATACAAAAATTAGCTTAAGGGGTCGGTCCAGTGGCATAGTGTTCAAGTTTACAGGCTCCCCTTCAGTGTCCCGGGTTCACGGGTTGGGACCTCTGTGCAGACCTACACACAGCTGATCAAGCCATTGCTGTGGCAGGGACCAACACACAAAATAGAGGAGGATTGGCACAGATGGTAGCCCAGCAACAATATTCTTCAAGCAAAAAGAGGAAGATTGGCAACAGATGTTAGCTGAGGGCCAGTCTTCCTCACCAAAAAAGAAAAAAAAACTAACTAAAAATGGATCAAAAACGTCAATATAAGAGTGAAAACTGGAAAACTCTTAGAAGGAAACACAGAGGGAAAACTTCATGACACTGGATTTGGCAATCATTTCCTGGATATGACCCCAAAAGTACAGGCAACAAAAGAAAAAATAGACATTTTTGGACTTCACCAAAATTAAAAAATTTTGTACATCAAAGGCCACTATTAAGAGAGTAAAAAGGCAACCCACAGAATGAGGGAAAATATTTATAAATCACATGTCTAACAAGGGCTTAACATCCAGAATATATAAAGCACTCCTACAACTCAACTATGAAAAAATCAACCCAACTGAAAAGTGGGCAAAGAACTTGAATAGACATTTCTCTAAAGAAGATATTCAAATGGCCAATAAGCATGTGAAAAGATGTACAACATCACTAATCTCAGAGAAATGCAAATCAAAACAACAATGAAGGGCTGGCCCCATGGCCGAATGGTTAAGTTGACGTGCTCGGCTTTGGCAGCCCAGGGTTTTGCCGGTTCTGATCCTGGGTGCAGACATGGCACCACTCACCAGGCCATGTTGAGGTGGCGTCCCACATGCCACAACTAGAAGGACCCACAACTAAAAATACACAACTATGTACTGGGGGGCTTTGGGAGAAAAAGGAAAAATAAAATCTTTAAAACAAAACAACAACAACAACAAAGAGATACCCCCTTACACTCACTGATGGCTATTATATATAAAAAAAGACAATAATAAATATTGGTGAGGATGTGGAGAAATTAGAACTGTTGTCCATTGCAGGTGGGAATGTAAAAGTGGTGCAGCTGCTGTGAAAAACAGTTTAGGGTTTCCTTAAAAAGCTAAGCATAGAATTACCTTATGATCCAGCAATTCAACTCCTAGGTATATAGTCAAAGGAATTGAAAGCAGGGACACAAACAGATGCTTGTAATCCAATGTTCATTTTAGCATTATTCACAATAGCCAAAAGGCAGAAGGAACCCAAATATGCATCAATAGATTAATAGATAAACAAAAAGTGGTATGTACATACAATGGAACATTAATCAGTCATAAAAAGAGAGGAAGTCCTGATATGTGCTGCAACATGGATGAACTTTGGAGGCATAAGTGAAATAAGCCAGATACAGAAGGACAAATATTGTATGATTTTGCTTATATGAGGCACCTAGAATAGTCAAATCGTAGAGACAGAAAGTAGAATCGTGCTTACTGGGGGCTGGAGGGAGGGGAGAAGGGGGAGTTACTGTTTAATGAGTATGAAGTTTCAGTACGGGATGGTGAAAAATTTCTGGAGATGAATAGTGGTGATGGTTGCACAACAACGTGAATGTACTTGATACTGAACTGTACACTTGAAAATGGTTAAAAGGGTAAATTTTATTATATATATTTTTTACCATAAGAAAAAAAAAAGAATAGTACATCAAAGGCTATGGCATAGTCTTTTCCAAATGATTTCCAAAAAAGACATCTTGTCCAAGATCTATCATGATACCATTTAGCTACTATCATGATAGAAAGATGAGGCAAGACTAGCAAAATAATCATGAGCTTTCTTCCAAATATTGGAGGAAAATAAAAAATAAATATTTTCTAATCATTAAAGAAAATAGCATCAGTGTTAGAGGTTGTCTTTTTCTTGTTCCTGATCTTAAAAGTGATATGCCTAAAGTTTTTCCATTAATATATCTTTTGAAGTTTTTTGACATGTAATATTTACTAAGTTAAGGAAGTTTCCTTTTACTCTTAGTTTGCTAAGTTTCTTTACGGGATAAATCTTTGGAAGCATTGCTAAAAATATAACAGAGCATTGTTTATTCAACATGTCCAGGATCTGACCTATTCCAGATTAAGAATATTTCCCGGGTTTAGAAATCTTAACTCCAAAAAAAGCACAGTGATTAAAAAATATATGTTTTGGCATATAAGGAATAGTTTGTGGTATGGGACATAAAGTATTGCAAAAAACAAAATTTAAAAGCAAAACAACAACAACAAACAAACCACAAAGTGACTTCATATAAAAACCTGGATTGAAAAAGCAGAAGGTCTGATGCCCTTGGTCCATATTTCTGCTTGGAAAGAACCGGTAGATCTAAGCAGATGCTGTTCTGTACTCAAGGCACCTGCTCTAGTTCTCAACAGCTCATTACACCACATGTGTCTTTCCTATCCTGGCACAAATACCATATGTCTTGCCTCTACTGATTTTCATATAGTTGAGAACTATTTCTCTAGACAAATTTCTTTTCCAAAGTTGGAAGATAAGGCATATATTCAAAGGTCTAGATGTTTTTTTACAAAAGAAATATTTTCTTTTCCTTTTTTTTTTTACACAAAATAGAGACCTTTTCTGTCTGATTTTCTGCTGTATTCTCAGTGCCTGTGTAGGGGAGGAAAAAATATTTTTCTTTCTACCCTCCTAGGTTCTCCACCTAGGCCTCTGTAAATCAGACTGACAAAAGACAGATTAGCAAGAGAAAAACAGAGTTTACTAGCTATGCATCACACATACACATGGGAGCACTCTGAGATGAGTAACTCAAAGGAGTGGTTAGAATTTGCGGTATATTTATCTAACTTAGTAGGGGAAAAAAGGGCACTTATGGAAAAGCAAATGATTTTTTGGAAATATATATAGGCCCTTAGGAGACTAGATGGGAGATATGGTAGTTTGTGATAATGTCTGTCAGGGGGTGGTACCGATTTCTCTCTAAGAAAAGAAAATTAGAGTTGTTTCCTGGGAGGGGATTTATGACCATTGACTTCTTTTGGGAGTCTCTACTTTTACAGAGATAAGGGATTTTAGGAATGTGAATGCCTTTAGGACAAAATAATTCTTAAGCCAAAGTGGCATATTTGTTTTTTTTAAAGATTGGCACCTGAGCTAACATCTGTTGCCAATCTTCTTTTTTTCTTCTTCTTCTTCTTCTCCCCAAAGCCACCCGGTATATAGTTGCATAGTCTAGTTGTAGGTCCTTCTGGTTGTGCTATGTGAGATGGCACCTCAGTATGGCCTGATGAGCGATGGCATGTCTGCGCCCAGGATTCAAACTGGTGAAACCCTGGGCCAACAAAGCAGAGCACAAAAACTTAACCACTCAGCCACGGGGCCGGCCCCCAAAGTGGCATATTTCGAGGTGGCTTATCCTGATCCCCCCCATCTTGATGTGTAGTGGGGACTCAGTAAGTATTTGCTGATGAATGAGTACTGCAGTAGATCAAGGAAGTGATGATAGTGGCTTGGACCAGTGTTGGCAGTACAGATGAAGATGGGACAGATTTGGAAAATATCTAAGAGGTAAGAATGCTAGAATTTGGTGATTGATTGGAATTTAGCGGGAGAAGGAGAAGGCAATAGTCTGGTTTGAACACCTGGGCAGACAGTATTAGGAGTGCAGGGAATGGGGAAAAGAAGTAGATGGGGTGAAGACAGAGACAGTGAGTACAATTTTAGACATATTGACTTTGAGCTCCCTTCACAACAGTTAAATCATGTCTCCTTTAGGATATATGGCAGTTAGCTGTATGGGTCTGGAGTTAAGGAGAAAGGGAATGGACCAAAGGTAGAGATTTGAGAGTTGAGAAAGAGTCTGTACAACCATAGAGGTGGAAGAGATTACATAGGGTTTGGGTAGAGAGGAGGAGGGGGCAAAGAAGCATGAAAAGGGGCAGCTAGAGAGATAGGAGGGAAACAATTAGAATATGACAGAAACCAGGGGAGGAGTATTGTTTCAAGGAGGAGTGACCCAACGGGTTTCAAATGGGTCAACAGGATCAAGTGCTGCCTAGAGATCATGCCACACAGACTGAAAAGCATCCATTGGACTTAGCAACACAAAGGCCATCGGGACCATATTGT